AATTAAATGATATTATCTCTTTTTATGGAGATAATATCTGAGATAATGACATTATCTTCTCTTTATTAGGATAATATCTTAATTAATGATATTATCTTATTAAATAAAGATAATATCATGTTAATTAAGATATTTATCCCAATTAATTAATTGGCCAGATAAACTGGTTCAATTAATTAATTAAAAGAGATAATCTTCTTTTCCACGTGGCGAGCTGTGATTGGAGACGAAAATATCTGCTCCCACAGAGGTCATACCGTAGCTGAACCTAGACCGTAGACAAGAGTAGGAAATAGGGAACACATACAAGTTCAAACTCGATTGGTCACAAGTGTTTGGCTTTTTATATCACGAACACAAATGACAAATACCACAACAATGAAGCAATTGACTACCGACATGGCCAAGATTCATAAATGTCGATTGCGACAATTACAATGTAGAGAGCAAAGGCAACAGCTTTTTATTCTAAATTACACTAATAACTGATAAAAGGAAAAAGTCTTTATAGATGCGATGAGATGGATCTATACTAGTCCTTGACTTTGGGCCTGATCTCAATCCCTTGAACAATGAGGCCACCCTTCCAATGACCACCGGTAACCTCCAAACAAGCCATCTCCAACTCCCCGTCTCCTCCGTCTCCTCCTCCTTGGCAGAAGAACTCACCCAGCTCGATCTCCAGCCAGCCGTCGTCTCTCTCTTTCGGATATTGGGCCTCGTTGATCTCTCTGGGCTGGGACGACTGATAGCCCAAAAAGTGTCTCCTGTTGATTAGCCCAATACGCCTGGGCCCTGGCGCAATGTGGTACGCTGTATTCTGCCCTCTTTCTGCGTCCAGAAAGACTCTGCCCCTGGTGGGCTCTTCTTCTCCTCCAAGCATCCCAACCGAGACCTCCACAGGTTGGTGATCAAATCCATAAGCGCCTGCAGTCGACTTGAATACAAGATAAGCTTTATATAGGGTGGATGGGGACAGCATCCGTCTACCAATTTTGCCACGGATTTCAAGCCAACACACACTCACAAGCTCTGCCACCTCCTCAAACCTGTTTGCTTATAATTATTAAATCTATTGTTTATGAAATAAATCCTTAAAAGAAAGAAAAAGAAAAAGAAAATAGAGAAATTTGGCAGACCTGGAGTCGGGCAGAGAAATCCATTTCCAGTAGTGAGGAGTGTCAGCCCAGACAATCGAAAGCGCCCTTGCAGAGATCATATAGCATTTTTTCCCACTGCTTTTTTCCAGTGAAAAGCTCTGCACAATCATAATATTCATGTGAATAACAAAAACACTCTCAGATGACCAAGGAAAAAGCTAAAAGCCCTCTAATTTCCTTATCTATTTTCGTATAGGATTAGTTGTAGCATTTGTTTTTGACTCATAATCCCGTGTCTGTTTCATTACAATTTGGTCAAAATCTCCTGTATCACTTTTTGGTCACATCTTAAAACATTCATATCATTATCAACAATGCAACCAAATCTTAATGCTCCCCAACCCAAAGGTCCCACCGCAAAACAGCAAAAGTTACGATTTTGTCGGCCCACACGAATCAATCTATGATGATATTAATAAAAACAGAGGCATCTGTTTTTTAACTTTTTTGCAATAAAGCAAGAATTAAATAAACAAATCATCCACCCCCAAAAAAGAAAGTGAATAAATAAATCCGGTTCATATTCTGAAAAGTAAGAATTTTTGTTTTTGTGACTCAAAATATGGGGCATAATAGTGAAAGTTACCATCTTGCCCTGCTCGATGAGGACTGGGTTGTCGCAGAGAGTGAGGTAAAGCTCCTTCTTGGATTTGGATTTGGAATTGGAAGTGGAGGAAGGGGAGGAAGAGACGGAAGAGGAGGGAGACTGTAGGGACAAGATCGTGTGGGTCTCGGGCGGAATGAATCTGTCCCAAACGGCGTCAGATTCAGAGGCCGACTTGAAACTCCTCGAAACCGAAGACAGCCTGCACGCATCTCGAGGCGTGGTGAGCGAGACAACGTTGGCTATGCATCCTTCGGGCAAGTTCTGCAGATCTATGTGATCCACCATGACCGTTCCGCAGCTGATTCTACCTTCTTCTTGTTCTTCTCCGCCACCGACATCGACACCGACACCGACGTCTGTTTTCTTTTGGGTTCCACCGCCTAAGATGAACTTGAACATCGTCTACGTGTTTGACTTGGTATTTTGTTCTGCGTTTCTTTTTTGTCTCTGTTTTCAACGAGAGTGAAATGTACTGTGTGTATTGTGACTCGCATGTTAAAAGTATGTTGTGTTATAAACCTATTTATAGAGAGGAGAGAGCACGACTAAAGAGATGGGAAGGGAGGAAATCTTAGCTACTAAGTTTTTGGGTTCTCTCTCTCTCTCTCTCTCTCTCTCTCTCTCTCTGTGAAAAGCTGTCAGATCCTGGATATATCAACCACAAAATAATAATTGGTTAAAGCTAAATAAAAGGTCATTTCTTTTTTTCCCATCCGAATCCATATTATTTATTTGATTCTCAACACCTTTTTTTTTTTTTTTTTTTTTTTGAAAAAGATAGAAGAACATTCCACGTACAATGTTTTTTGGATGACATGACAACCTTGCATGTAGAATGTTCAGCCCAAAAAAAAAACTCCATAAAAATGCTGGGGTTTTTATCTAGGGTAAACTACAGTAAACCCCTAACCTATAGAGTCATTTACGAGTCCATACCCGATTTTGGGGACATTTATAGGTACATAGACAACGTCGCGAAAACTTACAGATTACCCCCTCCGTTAGCGAGTCTGTCAAGAAATCCGTTAAATATTGACGTGTCAAAAATGAGACCCCTTTTTTTGATAACGTGGACTTCCACGTGAACCAAAAATTAATAAAAAATTTATTTTACAGTTTAAATTATTTATTATTGTTAAATTAATTCAAAATTCAAAATCTGGCAAAAATAAAAAGAAAAAAATTCATCTTCGTCTCTTTCTCTTCAAAGCCATCAAACGCCGGGGTGGGTTGTAATCTGATTCTTCAATTGAATTCAATTTCGTTGATGGGTTCTATTATAGCTCTTGAATTTATTTAAACTTTATGTGATGGAAATCATGAAGAAAACATGAATCCATGAATACCATCTTTTTGAAGAGCACGCAAAGGCAATTAAGTGTGGATCTGAATATCAAACACTTCCCCATGTTCCTCCCAAAGTCAAATGTTGGTGGTGACAAACATGATTCATCTCTCTCTACTCTCTTTCTCTCTAGAACAGGAAGAAGGTTAACGAATGTGAACTGGATCTTCTTTGTTTTTGTCTCTTCTTCTCTTCTGTGGATCAAATCTGGAATTAGCAAGAAATAATTTGGGTTTTGTATGGAATTTCAAACGGTTTGCTTTTTGAGCGGAAACTATGGATGACTGGGGATTACGTATTTGTTTGTGATCTGGGTTTGGGCCACATTTGAGAACATTTTAAAAAGCAAAATTAAAAATCTAGCAAAAATCAAAAGAAATTTTTTTTTCTTCATCTCTTTCTCTTCCCAGCCCTACCTCACCCCGACTAACTACCTCTTCCCACACCCCACCAACCCACCCTCCCTCCGGGCGCAGCGACTTCGGAATCTTCCCTGAAGAATCCGAAGAAGAAGAAGATGACGACATATCAGAAGCAGACCTTGAGCTCCTTCCTCCTCCGGTGACCAGAACCTCTTATTCGAACACGGCCTTGTGTCACCCAGATCTAAGCATCAAGTCGAGTCGCTTCCGTACATTGATGAGGCCGAGGAGGGTTTGGATCGCGATAGCTTCCTCTTCTCCTTCCATCCTCTGCTGGTTGGGTGGTTCAATAGTTCGAATGGCGTTATATGGGGTTGAAGCACCTAGAGATATATGGGGTTGGATTCCTTCCAATTCCAATCACCCAGAGTTATATGGGGTTGAAGAAATAGGGTGGGGGAAAAAATCTGGGGTTCAAGAAATCTAGGGAGGGGAAGAAATTGGGAGGAGGGAGAATTGGGTAGGGTTTTTAATTATTTTTTTTAATTTTTAATTTAATATGTTTAATTTTTTTAAATAATGTAAAAAGGAAATTTTTTATTAATTTTTGATCCACGTGGAAGTCACGTCATCAAAAAAAGGGGTTTCATTTTTGACACGTTAGCATTTAACGGATTTCCTGACGGACTCGCTAACGGAGGGGGCAATTTGTAAGTTTTTGCGACGTTGTGTATGTACCCATAAATGTCCTCAAAATCGGGTATGAACTCATAAATGACTATATAGATTGAGAGATTTACTGTAGTTTACCATTTTATTTAATAATAATTTTAAAATTGAAGAAAGGGTCAAATGCTTAAGTTGCTAGTAACAATTGTCATAAACTTACAGGAAGGAAAATTAATGAGTTGGGTGTATAATTAGGTGAGAATTAACTCAACAAAATTGATAATACAAATGTTTGGTGGAAGAAGAAAACAATAACTTAAGTAAAGGCCACCTCACTCTGCTGCTCATCCTACTCAACACTGAACGAGACTCTTAAATGTCCAACACTCAAAACGTACGTTCAAACAACAAAATAAGATCATTAGGGTTTCCGAAATTTAGGCCATGACATGATGCATGGGAGCATGTGATGTGCTGTTTTTGACGTGTCAAAGACCGACTTTCTATGTGTCAACTGCTTGCCTGCTTTGCTGCTGCATGTGATGTGCTCTCTAATTGCCGCCACACAACTCACAAAATCACTCCCTCCCTTTGAGACCAAGTGATTATAAAATACTACGTATAATATATTTTGTACATATATTATATATTATAATATAAGAAGAGGAAAAATAAACTGTCATTCATCTATTTATAGTATAACACATATAAAATATATCACATAACTATATGTAGTATTCTATAATTTCTTTAACACCCTTCACTTGTAATCTTATACTAGCAATCTTTTCATCTTTCCTTTTTGGACTCAGAATCGCACTCACAATTTTTATTTATTTTTCTTTTTTACTTTCCATTTCCACTTCACCCCCACATGTTTATTGTTTGCTCAACAGTAAAAGTAACCAAAGGTTTTGTTTTGTATTTTCCTTGTATTTTTATAATTAAGCAAAGTAGTTGGTCCAGTCGGATTAAGGACCCTTTTGCTAGGTTTCAAAAGTGTATAAAAGACATCAACGAAGTCTAGTCTAAAGGAAAAGTACATTGATTTGCAAATTAAATGTCTCAAGTTCGAATCATCGATTCACCACGGAATCATAGTTGTATGTGAAAAATTTTCCTCCTCTGTAGTTTAAATTATCACTTATACTAAAAATAAAGTATGTAAAAGACTTGGCTCGCTACGGCTTAATTAATTTGGTGAAAACTTGACAAGCCATGTTCATCTTAGAAGAGAAAAATTATACTGTCTGATTTGAGAAGATATTCTGTTTGACAGAATAGAATTCAAAACCAATAATACATATTAACATATAAAAAATTATGTTAATTAATATATTGAGGGTTGGACCAGGCCCAGAACACAACCAATCTAATTTGATGTAATGTAACTCCATCACTCCTCTTATTCACTGGGATTTCAATTTGGATATGAACAATTAACAACAGCAGCAAAATAATAACATGTAAGTTGACAGAGATCTCATTAATCCAATAATAATCTTGCTCATTCTGAGGTGTGGGAAACTAATAAAACAGAAGAAATAATTAAAATGGCTTGCAAGCAAAGCCAAATTCTGCCCCTTAAAATAACTGCTGGCAAAAATGGGGTGGGCTGGACACCCTCCAGGTATAGCCTGTAATGGTAACTGAAATTCAATAATCTTCCCACATTTTGCTCTCCTCAGTTTTAAAAGGCCGGACACCTTACGAAGTATCCACTCACATCTCCACCTTTTTCTGCGAGAAGTCTAAGGAAAAGTCTCTCATTTTTCTAACACCCCAAAACATGGCAACCCCCAATGCCTAGCATTCTCTAGTTGTTCTTTTTTTTTGCCCCCCATTCCAAACAGCAATTACCTGCCCTCTCCCCACCTGCGGGGTCCTCCTCTTTCAATATTCTTGGAGGACCCTGATCCCCTCTCCTCCTCTTCCTCCTCCTCCTCCTCCTCCTCCCTTGTCCTCCTCTTCTGCATTTCTTGTCAAACAAACAGTTTTGTTGACAAACTTCTTCTTTTTTCTTTCCTTTTTCATATTTTCATTTTGCATTGTAATATTAACTTCATTTCGAGTTAGCAAGCATTCATTCATTTGCCAAGAGTTAAGAAGACATGAGCTGCTTCCCGTGTTTTGGCTCACAGAGAAGTAAGAGATCAAATAGCAAGAGATTAGAGAATGCCTCTCCACCTATCGGACAAGGTAAGCTAATTGTGATTTCAGAAACCTTGGTTTTAATTAATAATCAAATTTAGACAAGACAAGGCAAGGCTTGGTTGTACTTCTAGTGCAATGTCCTGACTGCATTAATTATAATGTAGCAACATATATTTGTTAATCAGAGTTGCACTTAGCTCATAAATTTTTATATATATAGAAGCTATAGGAAGAAAACCATAAAGCATGCTAGGGCATACATATACATATAAATACAAATACGCATGATTGTAATTTAGGCTAAACAATGCTATATAGCTAAGGCATGTGGGCTAAAACCTCTTATCGTTACTTCAGCAGAATTGAAAAAACAAAAACCTGCAGAGGGAGTTAACCCAGCAGATATTAATGCAAAGACTTTCACTTTCCGTGAGCTAGCCACAGCAACAAAGAATTTCCGTCAGGAATGTCTTTTGGGAGAAGGTGGTTTTGGAAGAGTCTATAAGGGGACTTTTCAGTCCAGCGGGCAGGTAATAACTAAGAACGTTTGCTTGATCTTTTAGATGTATGACTGTATGAAGAGTCTATTTATACTCTAACTTTGCATTTGCTTTTTGGTTTTTAATGAAGATTTTTCAATGAGTAAGTGAGTTAGTGAGTTTTCCCATCTTGTTTATAGGTGGTGGCAGTGAAGCAACTGGACAGAAATGGAATGCAAGGAAACAAGGAGTTCCTTGGGGACGTTTTGACGCTAAGCCTCCTACACCATCCAAATCTGGTTAATCTAATTGGATATTGTGCTGATGGAGATCAAAGACTTTTGGTGTATGAATACATATCGGGCAGTTCTCTAGATGATCGTGTTCTTGGTAATTACCCTCCTTTTTTCCTCTACTGTTTTCTTGATCTAGGACCACATTATTAGCTCTATAAGTGTTCTTGGTACTTAATCCCATACTGTACATTGCAAATTCAATTTAATTAGTAATTTACCCTGATCAATATACTTATCTGCTGCAGTTGATGGATCAGGTCATAAGCCATTAGATTGGTAT